TCTGACAGGCCTTGAGTGTATTTTCCCTGAGACCTGCTCTTGCCTGGGAGACCCCAGTGGGCCAGGGGTGGGTCCTTTGGTACTATTTCAATAGATCAACCAGTGGATAAAAGGAGATAACTGTACATTTTTACTCCCTCATTTTAAAAATGATAAGACTTTTGTTCCTTCTGACCTGGCATAGATGGAGAACTTTTCTCCAATTTAATGATTAAATTTTTAATGCTAAAAGTAAACAAAATTCTAACTTCCTTATGACCTGCTCTCTAAGGGTTGGGAATTAAGCGCTAAAGAAGGTAAGTGGCTTCTTCTAATTGTTTACCAAATACTTTTTTATCTTTTTTTTCAGGCTACCACCTCCCTTCCTCTGGCCAGAAGAGGGAAAGTTGGAAGGGAAAGGTTGGGGTATTGGGGTGTCAGGCAGAGTGAAGGGAGCAGGAGAGGAGAAGGTGGGAAGCTAGGGGATTAAGGAAAGCTCCGAACTCTGAATAATGGGACCTGGAGCCAGGGTTGCCCCAAGAATGTACAGAGCTGACAGATATTTTGTTGTGTGGTCTTTGTTTACATGAAAAATTTGAGTCACGTAAAATCAGCCTTTTTGCACTATTCTGGTGACTCAATCATGTGACCCTGTGCTAAAAATACTGTGCTGGTCAGCAGGATTCATCTGCTTGCTAGGCTATCCTTGTGGAACCAGGACCCCTGCACTGGGCCCCATGATGACTCCATAAATATGAATCCTGGAGTTCCTTGGGACATCTGCTCAACCCCTTGATGAGGGAGACGGTCAGAGAGCACTCTGAAGGAAAGAAACAGGGAGTCGGGCTCATTCAGAACCTATTCTGGGCCTGGGGCACCTTACCTGGACAACACCACCTGCCCTTACCATTCCTGGGGGGACTATTTCTGGCCGGTCCTCAGAAGGGACATGAGGAGGAAATTCACAAAGAAGGTGCTTTAAAGCATGGGTTCCGTGAAGCATGCGGTTCAGGCGGGGGGCCCTGCTTGTGTGGGCAGTCCTGCCAGCAGCCTCCTCCTCTCCAGCTCCTGGAATGCTGGGGATGACACCACTCAGGAAGGACAGAGGAGAAGGCACTGAGTAATCTCAGAGAAAGGGCCTCTAGATTTGAGGGTCCTGCAACATGGCTGGTTCCTCCTATGATTTCCCTAGAGAAAAGCCCTCCTCTCAATGAAGCTGAGAGCATGCTCTCTGAGTTTCCTCTTCAGATACTTACTTCTCTCTTAAATATGAACAGTCAAGGAGCATCAGACAGCCGAGGAAAATATTTCACATGCATGACAGGCACCAAATCAAACAAACTTAAAAAAAAAACACACACACACGCACAGAGGAAACAGACCTAAATCAGAATAGGTGGGAAGAAAAAGGTCTAAAATACTCAGAGGAATGAGTTATTATATTCATAAAACAAGTGCAAGATGCAATGAACAGAAAAGAACAACCAAAGAATAAGAGCGAGAGCTTGGAAATTACACATTTGATAGGTGAAATAAAAAACTCAGTAGAAGGTTTGGAAGGTAAAGTTGATGAAATCAACTAGGAAATAGAAAAAAAAGACAGCAGAGCTGGGCATGGTGGTTTACGCCTGTAATCCCAACACTTCTGGAGGCTGAGGTAGGTGGATCACTTGAGGTCAGGAGTTTGAAACCAGCCTGGCCAATGTGATGAAACCCCATCTCCACTAAAAATACAAAAATTATCCAGGATTGGTGGCATGCGCCTGTAATTCCAGCTACTCAGGAGGCTGAGGCAGGAGAATTGCTTGAACCTGGGAGGTGGAAGTTACAGTGAGCCAAAATTGTGCTACTGTACTGCAGCCTGGGTGACCGAGCAAGACTCTGTCTCAAAAAAAAAAAAAAAAAAAAAAAAAAAAAAAAAAAAAAAGACAACGGAAAGCAAGAGAGAAAAACGATAAGGCAGTTACAAGATCAAATCGAGAAGGCCATTATTTGACAAACAGGAAAAAAAAGAAATGAGAAGAGAAGAAATTAGCAAAGAAATCCTAAGCAAAGATGTATTAGACTGGAAAGATAAGAGAGTCCAGACTGAAAGTACCCCCAAGTGCCCCACACAATCAATGCAAGAAAATCCACAGCAAGGCACATAGTGTTAAAGAGACCCCAGGGGCTTCCAGAGAGAAAAATAAATGCCTTGTGCAGAAGAATGAGAATCAGACTGGTAGTTCTGGATGCTAGAAGACGAAGTCTTAAAAATTCTGCAGGAAAACGATTTTTAATCAAATTCTGTGCTCAGCTAAATTGGCAGTTACATGTAAATGTGACATATAGACATTTGCACACGAAGCTCAGAAAGAGTCTCTATGCATTCTTACCTGGGAAGTATTATATGTTGCTGAAAAACGAGGGAGGGGTCAAGAAAGAAAGTGGGGCTCCAAGTCAAGGGAGGCTGAGAGGTCTGCTGTTGGTGGGTGGGGATGAGGCTGAGGTAGTAACGAGTGCAGATTGGAGAAGGAAAGATGGCACTGGGGTGGCGCGTCCCTTGGGAAAAGGTAACTTTTGTATTGTCTGTTGTAAGAAAAAGCACATGGTTAAACACAGAGAATGATTTACTCCATCTGGGAGAAAATGGGGAGAATTCAATATTCAGCTTTGAGATGTATTAACTTAGGGAAAAGCAGAAAAAAATGATTAGAAAGAAAAGGCTGTCATACTATCATATTTTACTGAATTTAAGTTACTATTAATAGCAAAACATATCATTATTTTAAGAGGAAAAAAGTGTTGCTTGTTAAAAAGGCAAGCTGTAAGTTGTAAAACACATCCAAATCTCAGAGATCTTACAAAGTTAAAAAAATGTGCTTTTTGGAATTGATGAAAATAGCGCCTTATTTGGCTTTGTGGCAAACTATTTTGATGCAGATTATTGATTTAACCACAAATTATGACGCAAATTTATTGTGAGGCTGAGGAAAGAAAAAGTATGGAGTATGGGTGTTCACCTGTGGGAAAATATAAGTGCTAGATAGGCATGTGCCAAAAAAGAAAGGCAAGATTTAACATCTACATTGATAAATTGATAAATCAAGGATTAGCAGCATTAATCAGACATATGAACATAGCCAAACAAAGGAACAGCTAACATAGTTGAAAATGGTGGCCTCCAGGCACTGGTCTAAGGTTGGTTGGATTGGGTTCTAGTGAAGTGATTTAGAGACTGCTAGTTTTCATTGGGAGCCTGTGGCCCATAATGCATGATTAACACATGTATGTTACTTTGATGTAAACAAAGGTAGAAGAAAATCCACACAGACACAGCCTTTTTAGCACTTAGGAGTGGGACAGAAATGGGAGATTTAGGGCCCCCAAATCTACTCTCTTTTTAAGTTACTTTATCCAGACTTAAGGTTAAGATATAATCATATCCTGCTTCTGGCTTTCAGGAAGACACCAGGCACCCTTCCCTGTGTCTTCCTTTCCTCTTCCTCCAAAATGAAAGTACACCTGAGGATGGCACAGAGTCCTCTTTTTCTTTTTATTTTTTGAGATGGAGTCTTGCTCTGTCGCCTAGGCTGGAGTGCAATGGCGATCTTGGCTCACTGCAACCTCCACCTCTTGGGTTCGAGCGATTCTTCTGCCTCAGCCTCCTGAGTAGCTGGGATTACAGGTGCACACCACCACGCCCGGCTAATTTTTGTATTTTTTTTAGTAGAGATGGGGTTTCACCATGTTGGCCAGGCTGGTCTCAAACTCCTGACCTCAGGTGATCTGCTCACCTTGGCCTCCCAAAGTGCTGGGATTACAGATGTGAACCCGGCACCCCAGTGCCCGGCCAGGATGGCACAGAATCCCCTTACCTCTGCAGTAAGGTGTGGAGTTTACACATTGTTCCTGTATTTCTTTTTTGTTTGTTTTTTTTGAGACACCCAGGCTGGAGTGTAGTGGCACAATACTGCAATCTCTGCTTCCTGGGTTCAAGCCATTCTCATGCCTCCTGAGTAGCTGTTTTTTTTTTCTTTTTAGACTTTTATATTAGATTCCAGGGGTGCATGTGCAGGTTTGTTGCAAGGGTATATTGTGTGATGCTGAAGTTTGGGTTACGATTGAACCCATCACCCAGGTAGTGAGCACAGTACCCAATAGGCACTTTTTCAGTCATTCCCCTTCTTCCTGTCTCCCACTTGCAGTAGTCCCAAGTGGCTGTCATTCCCATCTTTATGTCCATGAGTACTCAGTGTTTAACTTCCACTTGTAAGTGAGAACACGTATTTGGTTTTCTGTTTCTGTGTTAACTCACTTAAAATAATGGCCTCCAGATGCATCTATGTTACTGCAAAGGACATTTCTGTTTTATGGGTGTGTAGTAGTCTGTGGCATTCTACATATTTCAACCCATTTTCTCCTCACCAGCACCTTGTCAGTTAGGTGGTACGATCACCACCACTTTAATATGAAAACACCAGGGGTTCTATACAGGTCCTGCTGCTTGCTGCACAGAAAGCCAATCACCTAGATGACAGGTATTGCTGAGGAAGAAGGCTTTAATCAGGTGCTGCAGAGGAGGGGGGCGCTCAGTCTCAAATCCATCTCCATCTCCCTAACTGACTAAAACTAGGGTTGCATATAGCAGGAAAGAAATGTAACAATGTTTAAAAAAACAAGAACTAGAGAGGAGCTAAGAAGCAATCATCTCACTGGGGTCAGGCATCTCATTGTCTCGTTGTGGTGATCTGGTGAGTTTCGGTGAATCCATACTTTTTGAGAGGCCTGAGGGATCCTTTCCTGAGGAAGGAATTCAGATCAAACAAATCTAAGTTTCAAGCTTTAAGACCAGAAGGGTCAATTTCTGTGTTTATCCAAAAACAACTGGCTATGGGACTCCTGGGTAATTTCAGTTTCACACCTGTAGGGACTGAGGCTGAAGAGGCCACTGAGGCACTCTTGGCCCCAGAGGTATTTCTTTCTCCTCTCGATAAAGTGTGGTTGTCGTCTTGTGTTGTTCTGTCCCGGTGATATTTTAGAGGAAAGAGGAAGAGGTGAGGAAGAGAGGAGAAGAGCAGATTCGCCTCCAGGAAGAGCAGAGGGCGAAGGAGCTCTTCTGGACCCTGAAGCAGGCCCAGCTGCATTGCCAAGCCAGTGAGAAAGAGGAGCGAGAGTGGGAAGAACAGCGTGAGTAGAGCATGTGCCTCGGGCAGGAGACCTAGTCCTGCCTCCCCACCCACCTCCTCCCACTGCTGATTTGCTCAGTTATCATTTCCGTTCACTCACTCACCCCATCAGCCTTTACCCAGGCCTGGCTGTGTGCTCAGTCCTGCTAAGAATTTAGAGGGTAAGTTAGGTTTCACTCTTGAAGAGATTACCTGCCTGTTGGGGATATTTCTTGTATTAAAAAAATAAAATCCTAGCCTGGACAATATAGTGAGACCTGTCTCTGCAAAAAAAAAAAAAAAAAGAGTATTAATTAGCTGGGCATGGTGGTGGCATGCACCTGTAGTCCCAGCTACTCAGGAGGCTGAGTTGGGAGGATTGCTTGAGCCCAGGAGGTCCAGTCTGCAGTGAGCCCTGATCATGTCACAGCACGGCAGCATGGGTAAAAGTGAGACCTTGTCTTGTAAATTCTGTGTTTACTGAGTTGCCAATAATTTCCTGGCTCTGTGCTAAGCCTTGGGGATCCAGGGATGAGGAATCGTGGTCCTTATTTGTAGAAACTCATCAACAGGAGCAGCAGATAGACACACACACAGACTAAGGGATTGGAGGGAAAATGTATACAACGTGGCTGTCCTGGTAGGGCTCCAGAAGAGGTGTCATGAAGTGAGGCTTGCTGGTGACACAGGAATAAGCAAGTCAAAGAGGCTGGGGAGGGCACTGTAGGAACACGGCGTGCCTGGGAAGTGTGGTGGTGAGAGTTTGGGGAGTGTCAGGCTGGTAAGAAGCTAGGTGGGGAAGGCAAGGTGGAACTAAGTTTGGAGGGCAGTGCTCCCCTCTATGCTGGGATTTGTTTTATTTGGGTATGGTAAGATATACAGGCCCAGAAATGATGCTTGTGAAGGAAGATGTTTTTACTCACAGGTCCCTAGAGACAGGAGGCGTGGCAGGCCATGCAGAACCACATGGGGAAGCCCCAGAGTGGGTCAGGAGGCAGAGGGATTGGGGTAAAACACAGGCAAGAGTGTTTATTGTGATTTCCTTGGGAAAGGTAAGGAGAGGCAGGCTAGGCAGCTTAGGATTGGCCAGTGTGAATAACTTCGGTGAGCTCTTGGGTGTAGGGGCTGTCTCTAGTTTTGCATCATCTGGCTGTGGGGTGATTAAGGCAGGGAGACAGTGGCTCAGAGTGTGAAAACCCAACAAGGGAGGTAATTGTGGGGATGGGCTTTGGATTGATGGGTTTGCATATGAAGGTACTCTGGCAGGCAAGCCCTTTACTCTCCCTAGGAATTGGCTGTCCCTGAAAGGGACAATCTCTCCAGAATCAGGAAGGCCTCAGATGTCAAAAAATCAGAAGATAGAAAAAAATGAAGAGACATGAATAATACATGAGGACAATGGGAAACTTCCAAAGGCGAGTGACGGGATTCTGGCAGGGTTTTGGGAAGAGAGCAAGGAGGAGGCTGTTGTGATGGTACACTTGAGTGATGATTGCAACTGGGGTCACATGGGGAGAGCAGAGATGTGAGGTGTCTTCTACTGGCCAGCCTTCTGCTCCTCAGCATGTCTTTTTTTTTTTTGAGATGGAATCTCACTCTGTTGCCTGGCTGGAGTGCAGTGGTGCGTTCTCAGCTCACTGCAGTCTCTGCCTCCTGAGTTCAAGTGATTCTCCTGCCTCAGCTTCCTGACTAGCTGAGACTACAGGCGCGTGCCACCGCACCCAGCTAATTTTTGTATTTTTAGTAGAGATGGGGTTTCGCCATGTTGGCCAAGATGGTTTCCATCTCTTGACCTTGTGATCTGTCTGCCTTAGCCTCCCAAAGTGCTGGGATTACAGATGTGAGTCACCGCACCCAGCCAGCATGTCTTAATCTTATGCCAGATTCATTAAATAGACTTGAAAATTGAGATACAATTTACATACCATAAAATTTAATGGTTTTTAGTATATTTAAAAAGTTGTGCGATCATCACCATCTAATTCCAGAATATTTCTGTCACTTCCAAAAGAAACAATGTATTGATTAGCAGATACACCTCCCCCCACCATATCCCTGGAAATTACTCATCAATTTCTGTCTCTAGATTTGCCTATGTTGGACATTTCATATAAATATCATCATACATTATGCAGCTTTTGGTGTCTGACTTCACTTAGCACAACGTTTTCAAGGTCCATTCATGTAGCAGCTGTCATTCCTTCCTTCCATTTTATGGCTGAATAATATTCTAACGTATGCATATACCACATCGTCGTTCGTCGATTAACAGTTGATGAACATTTGGGCTGTTTTCACTTTTTGGTTATTTTGAATAACGTTGCTATGAACATTTGCATACAAGTTTTTATGTGAATGTGTATTTCAAGTTTTCTTGAGTATTACCTATATGCCTAGGAGTGGAATTTCTGGGTCATATAGTATCATAGTCCATCTTATATGTCTGTAACTGAATATCTGAGGCTGAGTGACTTATAAAGAAAAGAAATTTATTTCTTATGGTTCTGGAGGCTGGGAAGTCCGAGGTTGAGGGGCTGCATCTGGTAAGGGCCTCCTTGCTGGTGGGGACTCTTCAGAGTTCTGAGGCAGTGCAGGGCATCACATGGAGTTGGAAGGGGCACTGAGAACCAAACCAGCTTTTTTTTTGGGGGGAGTCTTGCTCTGTCGCCAGGCTGGAGTACAGTGGCATGATCTTGGCTCACTGCAACCTCCTCCTCCTGGGCTCAAGTGATTCTTCTGCCTCAGCCTCCCTAGATTACAGGTGTGTGCCACAACACCTAGTTAATTTCTGTAATTTTAGTAGAGACAGGGTTTCATCATGTTGGTGGTCTTGAACTCCTGACCTCAGGTGATCTACCTGCCTTGGCCTCCCAAAGTGCTGGGATCACAGGCGTGAGCCACCATGCCTGGCCCAAACCGGCTTTTATACAGATCTGCACTCCTTTTATACAGATCTGATAGCTAACCGACTTCCATGATAACCCATGAACCCATTAATACATTAATACATGAAAGGATTAATCCATTCTTGAAGGCAGAGCCCTCATGATCCAGTCACCTCTTAACTGCCAGACCATTTTCCAAAGTGACTGCACCATTTTATATCCCTACCAGCAATGTACGAGGGATTTAATTTTTTGACATTCTCGCCAACCCTTGTAATTTGTGTGTGTGTTTTTTTCTTTATTATAACCTTTCTAGTGTGTGCAAAGTGACACCTCATCATGGTTTTGATTTGCATTTCCCTAATGACTAATGATGTTGAGCATTTAAAAAATGTGCTTTATGACTGTTTATATATCATCTTTGGAGAAATGTCTATTTAAATTCTTTACCCATTTTTGAATTTTTATTGTTGTTGAGTGGCAAGAGTTCTTTATATACTGTGTTTATTAATCTCGTAACAGAAATATGGTTTGCAAATGTTTTCACCCATTCTTCGGGCTATCTTTCTTGATAGTCCTTATCACTTTCTTGATAGTCCTTTGAAGCACAAAAATTTTAATTTTGATGAAGTTCAATTTATCTATTTTTTGGTTGTTTATGATTTGTGTCATATCTAAGAAGCCATTGCCTAATCCAAAGAAGGTCACACTGACTTATACTTATCTTTTTTCTAAGAGATTTATAGTTTTAGCTCTTACATTTAGGTCTTTGATCCATTTTGATTTAATTTTTGCATGAGGTAGGGTTCCTACTTCTTCATATGGCCATACAAATTGTTCAAGGACCATTTGTTGAAAAGACTGTTCTTTCTCCATTGGATGGTATTGGAACTCCTGTTGAAAATCAGTTCACCAAAAATGTGTCTGTACTCTGTCTCTTTCTCTCTCTCTCTCTTTTTGTTTTTGAGGCAGGGTCTCACTCTGTCACCCAGCTGGAGTACAGTGGTGTGATGTCAGCTCACTGGAACCTTTGTCCCATGGGCTCAAATGTCTATCCTCCCACTTCAGCTTCCTGAGTAGCTAGATGTGCACCACTATGCCTGTTTTTTTTTTTTTTTTTTTTTGTATTTTATTAGAGACAGAGTCTCGCCATGTTGCCCAGGCTGGACTCAAACTTCTGAGCTCAAGCGATCTGCCTGCCTTGGCTTCCCTAAGTGTTGGGATTACAGGTGTCAGCCACCACTCATGGCCTGTTTCTGTACTCTCAACCCTGTTCCATTGATATATATGTTTGTTTGTTTCTTTTTTTTTTTTTTGAGATGAAGTCTCACTCTGCTGCCCAGGCTAGAGTACAGTGGTGATCTCGGCTCACTGCAACCTTCGTCTCCTGGGTTTAAGCAATTCTCCTGCCTCAGCCTCCTGAGTAGCTGGGACTACAGGCGTGTGCCACCATGCCCCCTAATTTTTTATTTTTGTATTTTTAGTAGAGATAGAGTTTCACCATGTTGGCCAGGATGGTCAGTCTCGATCTCTTGACTTCATGATCTGCCCACCTCAGCCTTCCAAAGTGCTGGGATTATAGGTGTGAGCCACCTCGCCTGGCCAATATATTTCTGTTTCTTATGCCAGTACCACATAGTCTTGATTGCTGTAGCTTTGTTGTATGTATAAGACCTCCATGTTTGTTCTTCTTTTTCGGGATTATTTGGTTTTTCTGAGTCCTTTGTATTTCCATATACATTTTAGAATCAGTTTGTCAATTGCTACAATAAAGGTAGCTGGAATTTTGATAGTGATTATATTAAATCTGTAGATCAATTTGGAGAGTATTGTGATCTTAACAATATTTAGTCTTCCAATTCATAATCACAGAATGTCTATTTATCTAAGTCTTTAAAAATCTCTTTCAATAATATTTTATGGTTTTCAGTGTAGAAGGCTTGCCCTTGTTTTACTAAGTTTATTCCTAATTGTATACTCTTTCTGATGCTGTTGTAAATTCAATTGTATTCTTAAATTCATTTTTGGAGTGTTTATTGCTAGTGCATAGAAATGCAATTGCCTTTTGTATATTTATTTTCTCTCCTGTAACCTTACTAAACTTGTTTATTAGCTGGAATGCATCTTTTTGTGTATT